CACAATGATTCTCAGAAAAATTCAGAATAAGGTTACCGATAGCAATGATTTGTCATGGTCTTTTTTTCAAATTCAAACCAGCAAATTTTAACAATGTATGTTAATGTATGCAAATGAGCTTCTAGATTTCATAAAATGATGGGGTTCAATAAATTCATCTTGTCGCTTGTTCATAATGTGTTTGACTAATATCAAACGATTCCAAACATTCTCATATATATAACAACATATAACTTCATGTAAAAACTTGTAAAACCACTCAACATTTTCTATATAATATGTAACGTGTTATGCAATGACCGTTGTTTAATTCCATGTTTCCCTTCAATCAGACCCAAAAAACTAAATACTGCCATGTAATGGTTGGGACGGCCCTATAAGCCAAGATAAATCCACAACATGACTATTTTGGTCCAGTGGTACGTGCATCCCTATCCAACATGTCTAAATAGTCTAACTAGAATTAAACCACATAGTTCCATACAACAAAGGATCAATACCAGTGAGTTATGCATCAGGTGTGAGCTCAGTGTGTGAGGTACTGATCCCTGGGGTAGGTTTCCTAGACTGAACTGGGGATGGAATATAAATTATGAAAATAGACCCAGGTCAATCTTTGAATATGTTTGAATATTTGCATCTTCCCGAGGCAAGTGAGTTAACTGACTATAAACGTCCAGTTTCCACCCTTGCCGAACTAGGCTGGTATTATGGTATTCTTGTTTAATGTTGTACTCGGCAACACCAACTGAGGTGGCTTGTTAATAATGAAGTCTGGACCAGACAGTCCAGTGATGGATATTATAAATATGAATTAGGGGAACGATGACGCTGTCCATCTGGAGACACCGAGTCAGACCTCCCAGTACAATATTTGTTTGTGTTTGTTTGTTGTTTAACGCCGCACTCAGCAATATTACAGCTATATGACGGCGGTCTGTAAAATAATTGACTCTGGGCCAGACAATCCAGTGATTAATATCATGAGCATCAATCCACGCAACTGGGATCGATGACATGTATCAACCAAGTCAGTGAACCTGACCACCCGATCCCGTTAGTCGCCTTTTACGACAAGCATAGTCGCCTTTTACGGCAAGCATGGGTTGCTGAAGACCTATTCTACCCCGGAATCTTCATGGGTCCCCAGTATAATAAGTTGCAGCCGATGTTAAAACAAAACAAGATGAAGCCTAGATAAGCCAGGACACTTCTGTACCACACAGTGAGCTCCAACCTATCATTACAATACATCAGACGGAGGCCTCCATCAATCAGGGATGTGCTCTGAAGTAGGAACTTAAACATGAAAAACTCCTTCGTCGGCCAGCGAACATAACAAACTAAAATATTCACCTGACAGTTTCTTAAAGAAATTGCTGAAAAAGCAGCCAAAAACTTGATACTAGAATTCTCTCACAAAAGCCTTCTGCAATCATTCCGTTTTTTAATTGGCATCCTTAATTTGGCTACAGAGCCGTCGTGACTCCTAACGATGTTTAAAATAACTGAAGCTACTTTCCAAAACTTTGTTTCATACTTAGTAGACATCAAAACTTCTGGGTTTCTGGACCATCTCTTGGCATTACTTCGGCTATATTTCAGTTTTAATACATTGACTTTACCTGAGCGTACTAGACAGCTCGACTAAATAAACTTTTACAAGATCCAAGCTTCGGATATCATTCTAAATGATATCAGAGCCCAAACTTTCTTGTCCTAAAGACATTCTTCAGGCGTGTCCTTTTCAGAGCTAAAACAATTTCCTACCATTGCTAAGCAAGTGTGACCCACAAAGGTGTTTTCTGTCTGCGTCATTGACAAGACTATGGCCAGGTGTCTTGTGAGACACTGTCTCTATTCGATGACGACATCAGGTTATTAAAAGACTGGTCTAGATCAAACGTGGGAGTTGCTAGATTTGAAATAAGTTCAACGGCCGATAAAACAGTATATTTCATAGACCCAGATCTATTTTGAAGACCGGAAGGAAGGAGATTGTGAACGCTAAACTGAACAAGGTTATAACAAAACCGGTCGTTGAATATTACTAAATTAACATCCCTGATTGATGGAGCCCGATCTGTAATCAAAATGGAATAAAGGAAAATGATTTTGTTACAGTGTTGGATTATTTTCACTCTTTGCTGAGAAATGTTTTTTAAAAGTGCATCAGTTTAATCACAACTGTCTTGCATACAAACTTCTAAAATTATCTCAGAACTCAGTCGTCTTGTCTTTCACAAGAGACAGAAGCATAAGTGATAAGATCAAGGAATCTGTTGTAAAGCAGTTTTTTCTCAACCAATGACACTAATCAAACACTGAACAAAACAATGAATCGCTGGTCACACCATTTCAAGATGGCACAGGTCTAAAGTGGATCTTTTCCAACAGCATCAGGATATAAATGCCTTGTCAAGTGTAACCTCTTATGTCCTAACCAAAGGTTGAAAGAAGCGCTTGCCCGTAGGCCCGTGGCTGGTAGATCTCATGTTGGGCCTGTACTTCCAAATTTGTTTGGGGCCATAGCGCAGTGAATTTACTTGTGAATTTATTTGTCACAAAAAGTTGCAGTTTTAAAAATGAGTGAGCGAGTGTGTATGGTTTTACGCCGCTTTTAGCAATATTCCAGCAATATCATGACGGGGGCACCCGAAATGGGCTTCACACATTGTACCCATGTGGGGATTCGAACCCAGGTCTTCCGCATGACAAGCGAACGTTTTAACCACTAGGCTACCCCCGACCGCCCCTTTTGAAAATGAGAGTCTGAACATGAGGGCATGCAGCTTCCGAAGTCTGTGGGTCCTGATGGCAGTCTGGCAAAATTATTTATTTCTAAACACCGGTTCTAAGCATCGTTAAAATTGAGGAATGTTAATACCGTATTCGACGTAATAAGCACTCACGGTGATATTTGCTAATATATTGGCTAGTGAACAATCCCAATTAGCACCTCTTCCGATTGATCAATGTACACAAGACTTATTTATTCGTGTATAATATGCACAGACTTTTCTTTTGTATCACTTCGCTAGTCAAGCTTTTGAGTCTAGTTCTAACCTTGATAGTGATATTGTGGAATAATGATGGTTACCATGGTTACACCACCAGACAGTGTCTATTTTGGATCCAGGGGTTGATTCAGTCGCAGTGATTAGAGGTGCCATAAATATATTTGAAACTCTCGTTGCTATACCACTGAAACAATGTTTATGTTAATAATTAAGTCACTATTTTCATCTCAAATGACAGACATATGCTGTGTAAAAAAATTAAAAACAAAATCTTTCAAATATTATGCTAATTCACGCTAATTCAGTGCAAATAACCTGTGTGTGGATGAGTAGATCTAACATCTCCTAACAGGATGCTAATATAAGATCTTGAAATGGGCAAAAGCAGTTTGCTAATGCAAGTCAACCATCCTATACTTTGATTACACTCTTGGCTATCACGGGCCTAAGGGAGACAACTCTAACAGTGATTTTTGTAGGGTTCCAAACAATGTGCCCTTGCCAGGCAAATTGGGAAAAATCCTTACTTAGTTCAAATGTTTAAAGTTTAATTTTCCTAAACTCCATTTCACCACCACCTATGTTAAAAGTCATGTTGAGGTCCATGGATTCGACCACAATGACAGCAAACATCAAGGACATCGGGACCCCATCAGAGAACTTTCAGCAACATCTAGAACCCATCCAATTGTGTGAAAAGAATGAAGATATAACTTAATTATTCGATTCTGAGCAGCCCAACAAATGTCACTTTTCTGTACCTTGTATCAAAAACCTAACCAAAAATTCTCAAGAATTAATATTTCCAAGGCATCAAATAGTTTTGGTGTGAACCAACAGGGGGAGTGTTTCATTCTGTGTCTTATCTCTAGAATACATAGGGCAAGTTGGGCTATTCACAGAGTGGTGTAGCAAACCAACTCAAGAATATCATCCTAAACCATCTCCTGTCTATGCCCTGGTTGGTGCATAATGTCATGAAAATTGCGGTCTTTTCTACCACACTCAATTCCGAGATATAGAAAAGGGTCCCTATAAAAATTGTTTATGTTGCTCACAAACTCGAAGGTGATCATGAGGTGAACATTTGCTCAAAATAAGTGTTGGTTCAAGGTGAAAATTATATCCATGAATGACAGGGAAACAACATTATAAAACAACTGCACTTACAGCTAAAACTCTATCACAAATTAGGCTGCTATTTAACGCAGAGCTCTGCAATATTCCAACTCTGTGATGGCCGCTGTGTTCAAGTCTGAACCTGACAAACCAGTGAGTGATATAATGAGCAGTGAGCCAGGTCGGATACAATGACACGCAACTACCAACAGAGCCTTACCACCGACTGAGTCGTCACATACATTACTGGGGACATATTCTAACCTGGAATCCCCACGTAACAAATTGGTTTTTCATACACCATTGTACATATTGTACACTGATGGAGGCATGAGATCAAGTCTCATTGAGATTTAATACTTCCGATTGGCTTATAATACCCAGATCTGTTGGGTACATTTTCATACGTCAATTTGAGTGAGTGAGTGAGGTGGGTTTAACGCCGCTTTTAACAGTATTACAGTTATATCGCGGCGTGTCAGCTTAATGTGGGAGGAAAGCCCCAAGTGATGCAGGTCTCAGACGTTTACCACTTCGGTGAAACCCACGAGCACAGGTATGGTGCTGACAAAACTAGAAACATAATCGGGGTGAACCGGGATTCGTACCCACAGTCATAGGTTTCTGACGTGCCCAAGGGACGCAACTCTGCACAGCGAATTGCGGCACCTTAGACGCCTGGGCCACCCGTGCCCTTATGTCAATTTGAAGAAGTGTCTGTTCTGAATCGGCTATCTTAAGATGAAGACAAACATAACTGATGCAGAGGAACTTGTAACTTTCACTTGCCAATTGATTCCAGGGATTCTGATTTGGTGTGACCAGCAATTCTCCAAAGAAGAAACAAAACTTGATAATTACCGTCATTGCTATAATCTGCTCCGTTATCGTCGCCGTAGTCATTGTCGTCTTGGAACACTAAATAGTCATCTGCACTTTGGTCACCATGATGAACTTGACTAGTACTGGGTTCGGCGTAATCTGGCACATGTGGAACGTTTTGATGGAAGGACGATGATGAAGAACCGGGTGATTGAGAATGGGATGATTGTAGATGAGAGAGTCGATCTAAAGCTGCTTGGGACGTTTGCGTATGAGGTACATCTGAGGAATAATCTATTTGCATGTATGGAGTCTCTTTCTTTGGCACAATGTCGTCAAGTTCTGGATCCGGTTCTATTTCTATTAAATCTGGATCTTCTGGTTCTTGTTTCACATTCACTGGGGGGTCATTTCTTGATTTTGGAGTGTTGGACGGACGTGGTGTGGTTTGAGCATGTGGAATGTTGCGGGGTTGACTTCGTGGTGGTGTGGATTCGGAATAGGAAGTCCGACTAAATTTTACATTAGAATGATCTGAAACTGAAAACTCGTGCGACCTTTTGGTTCGAGGTGAAAATGATGGTAATGCCATTTGCGTCATCATCATCGGCGCATTTTCTTGAGCTATTAATGTCCGATCCACATCGAATACTGCAAGTTTCAGCGTTTTACACTCACTTTTAGAAATCATACTTGCGTTTGATGAGACACCATCCACAACAAAAGTCAACTTGTTAGACCGTAGAGTCACTTGAATGTTGGCATCTTGAGTTGTGCCGTAGGAATTCACAGACGCTGGAAATTCAAGGTTTTCCTTTGGTCCGTCTTTCAAAGTGGAAAACACATCATACAAGTCCATAGGTATCGTGAACTCAAGTGTTTCGATAAACATTTTGCTGGATTGATTAAGTTTTGGTGGAGAAAACGTTCTTGTTTCACTCTCTAGGTCACCAGTCCACACTTGGAAATGATCGGCTTCGTTTTGTGAAAAGATGTTATCAAAATTAACGATCAAACTCACGAAGGCATCTCACTGGATCGACCGTATGCTGGCTAGGGTCGCATGGGAAATCCTTTTTCCATAAAATGCGCTTCACAGGATGTATTGGACATCATATGTAGACCAAATCTACATCATTTTCTATCGGTAACTCTTGTCCACAGTACTCTTTCTCGAGAAGCGGGAGCAAGCACGCGCTACATAACAGAGCATGCGCGAAGCAGTTGATGTTGATTATTTCCTGTTTAATGTTGTACTATCTTCCACAAAACCAACTATATTACTCCCATGACGAAAATACCTCTGTTGACATTGTTGATATATCGATAGTTTGGTAACGATGTGTCTTTTTCGTCTTTCAAAAGGCAAGCGACCGAACATAGGATCCGATGTTTGGGAGCACTAAGCCATGTCTGAAATAACAAATCACAGCATTTCTTACGACACTACACTATGTTTCTATTATTTTTTTCAACATTTCGGTCTTCAAAGAACACATAGAAATGTAATCACAAACAACTTCTTTATTTAACAACACAATAAGATGGCTACCATGCTAATCGTGTTTTTATCATCCAAAACTGGCTCCCACAGGAGATATCGCTTGGATGAGATCGCTGCAATTAAATTACATCACAATGCTTTGCAGACCATTGTGACATCACTGGTTACCGTGACGTCACAACCAAATGACATCACTAATGGCTCTGCTACTGAAACTGTTAGCAGTACTTTTTACACTGAAGACACTGCTAATTACTGTCTACAAATTGAAAAAGTTGGAAGAATGATGTTGGATGATAAATAAAATCTCACCCTCGTGTCTATTGATATCAAATATATAAACACTCGTGGATAAAAGTGGCAAAAATCCTTGGTAAGCCTCGGAATTTTTCCACTTTTATCAACTCGTGTTGATATATTTGATATCAAAAGACACTCGGGTGTTATTCTCTATTTATTGGGTAATTAAGGAAACGATTAACAACAGTATGCATCACAAGTCAGGAGTTATCAGATAATCGAGGTTGTGTTTAAACGACTTGAATTCAATTTGGTTGGACTATGCTGACTTGCCCGAGTACATTCCGCCTTTTTGAATCGAATACATTTAATTCATTCTTCCAGTTCTACCATAACGACTATTTGATAACGACTAGTGTATATGGACATTATTTTCATTTCATAAACAAATCGCTAAGCTGAAAATCTATTGAATGTTGTGTAACCACATCCTTTTAATATACAAGTGTTTTACATTCAAACAGTGGTTTTAATATAAAAATCCAGACAGAAACGTAACATCTGGTTCGTGGGACGTTTTCACTGCTCTAGTAACACTTTTGTAGATTCCATTTGGGCCATCTACACCATCCATCATGGACGAGCCAACTACAAACCAACTACTTGGAACCACGGCAACCTCATTGTCGTCTGTGAATTCCACCAGAATGTACGAAGCCCTGAATAATCATTCGTCACAACTCGCCTCTTTCCGTAACCTGCAAGAAGATTTATTACGGAAAACACGAGTTGGTCACGAATGCCTGAAGAATATTACACATAGTGAAACCCAATGACGCTGTATTAGTATCAGACATTAACTATGTTTACATTTTTAGTTAGACTGGACATCATTGTATTTGTGTTTTGGGAAGATTATGTATGAATTAATTAAGTTTGCATGGCATTAAAATTAATTTCATCTACTCGCTGTTGTCAGTGTATGCGGCGATAGGGTCTCAGGTGTATGGCGTTCACACAAGCCCGTTCACAGGGCAGCAAGAACATTTTGTTTGAACATAAGATAACTTGGCTACATGAAGGTTAAACACGATGTATTCCCAGTAAATCGGAATTCAAAGGCACCGTGAAATAAGTTTTACAAACTTTAAAACGAGTACACACGAGATAAACATTTTTCCCAAAGCAAGTATACGTATAAACACGCAATACCTTTTCGAAAGTGGTCAAATGTAACAAATGTTATATTTGGGATAACACTTTCTTTGTAAAGTACAGAATCTCGTTCTTTTTTCCTGTACTTTACAAAGAAAGTGTCATCCCAAATATAACATTTGTTACAAGTATATGTAATTCCTATATCCCAACACCGTTGTGTCCCTCAACGCAGGGCAATCGGAATTGTGGTGCAGGAACAGATTTGTGATAAGGAAGCCCGATGATTGAGTTTGGAATAGGGCCTCTCTGCGTAGCCTCTTGCTGTGAACCTGTTTTAAGGTGGGACTCTTTCAGAACATCGACGGATTACTGACCACTCTCTTCGATAACGCCACACTCAGCAATATTCCAGCTATATGACAGCGGTCTATAAATAATCGAATCTGGACCAGACAATCCAATGGTTGGTTCATGAGCATCGATCTACGCAATAAGGATACGATGACATGCATCAACCAAGTCAGCGAGCCTGACCACCCGATCCCGTAAGTCGCCTCTTATGACAAGCATGGGTTGCCGAAGACCAGTTCTAACCCGGAATCTTCACGGGACTTTTCAAATGTAAAAGCCGGGAGCCATGTGTCTGAGCATCTGAGTGAGTGAGTGAGTATGGTTTTACGCCGCTTTTAGCAATATTCCAGCAATATCACGGCGGGGGACACCAGAAATGGGCTTCACACAATGTACCCATGTCGGGAATCGAACCCGGGTCTTCGGCGTGACGAGCGAACGCTTTAACCACTAGGCTACCCGACCGCCCCTCTAAGCATCTGAAGCCAGATACACGAGTCCATGGATATTAAACATTAACGTTTCACTAACGTGCAATTCCCCAAGTTGTAGAACAAACAACAGTATGAATTGATGCGCGTTGATTCAAAATAATACTGTACCAAGAGTAAGTTTAACATTCACAAAGTGATTGAGAACTTCTGAAGTGTGTAGGTGCCGTTGCGTAAAACACTCTAGCGCTACGACTGTCGTAAGTTTATGTTGAGGTACCCGTGAACATCCGGGGTAGAATAGGTCTTCAGCAACCCATGCCGCAAAAGGCGACTATATATGCTTGTCGTAAGAGGCGACTAACGGGATCGGGTGGTCAGACTCGCTGACTTGGTTGATGCATGTCATCGAACCCAATTGCGTGGTTCGATGCTCATGATGTCAATTACTGGATTGTCTTGTCCAGACTCGATTATTTAGAGACCGCCGTCATATAGCTGGAATATTGCTGAGTGCGGCGTAAAACAACAAACCAACCAACTATGTTGAGGTACGGGAGTCACGAACACTTCAGTGCTAAGATCGCTTTGGTGCAACGGCACCCTGTTCTATTTCCTTGCCTTCATTATTTCCGCGAATGGAATCAGTACTGTCTTGAGCCTCATGTTGGCTAGGGGCGGTCGGGTAGCCTAGTGGTTAAAGCGTTCGCTCGTCACGCCGAAGACCCGGGTTCGATTCCCGACATGGGTAAAATGTGTGAAGCCCATTTCTGGTGTCCCCCGCCGTGATATTGCTGGAATATTGCTAAAAGCGGCGTAAAACCATACTCACTCACTCACTCACTCACTCATGTTGGCTATCCAGTATATGTTTCCAGCAGCATCTGCCCGAGGCAAGGGAGTTAACTGACGAAGTGGAAACTGGACTTCTATCGTCAGTTAACTCCCTTGCCTCGGGCAGATGCTGCTGGAAACATATACTTGATAGCCAACATGAGTGAGTCAGTGAGTGAGTGAGTATGGTTTTACGCCGCTTTTAGCAATATTCCAGCAATATCACGGCGGGGGACACCAGAAATGGGCTTCACACATTGTTCCCATGTCGGGAATCGAACCCGGGTCTTCTGCGTGACGAGCGATCGCTTTAACCACTAGGCTACCCGACCGCCCCCTTGCATCCTGAAGATGGTCCAGTATCTGTGCGTAGACATTTTTTGTGACAGTTCGCCGAATTGTCCAATAATACATGATCGACACTTGTTTTGTTTTAAATCAAAGAGGGGGAAACTGTTACTTCTATGCCTGTGTGATCTATATGAGTCTGACGACAACGTATGTAGCTTGTTTGACAGTCAACTGTCTAGTGACATGCAAGGGATTTGTTTTAAAGAAAATATTTATGTGTTCTTTGGCTTCGATCTTGGGAATCATTTATCTGTATACTTTGACCCGAAGAGTGAAGTAATAATATCCTTCATCGACATTAATTTTAAATTGAATATTTTCATTCGTGTTATTAAAATGTGTGGATAGTACAGTAAAATACGAACGGGATTTGCCTTTATCCTGTTCAGTTGTCAGATATAACTGCGATTCATGTATTCAGTATGTTGTGAATAATCATTAGATCTGGTGTGTAAGTGAATTTGTATTTCTAATTGCCGTTGAGTTGACTAGATCAGGCGCCTTGATTCGCTGTGCAGAGTTGCGTCCCTTGGGCACGCCAGAAACCTATGATTGTGGGTTCGAATCCCGGTTCGCCCCGATTTGGTAGTGTTTGTTTGTTGTTTGACGCCGCACTCAGCAATATTTCAGCTATATGACGGCGGTCTGTAAATAATCGAATCTGGACCAGACAATCCAGGGATTGACATCATGAGCATCGATCCACGCAATTGGGATACGATAACATGCATTAACCAAGTCAGCAAGCCTGACCACCCGATCCCGTTAGTCGCCTCTTACGACAAGCATGGGTCGCCTTTTACAGCAAGCATGGGTTGCTGAAGACCTATTCTACCCCGGATCTTCACGGGTCGGTTTGGTAGTGCATGACAAAGCCAAAATGTAGATTTTCCCGAAATGTTGTTAATATATGTACATAAAGTCTCAAACACACGTATTTACGAATATGTCACACTTCATTAACAGTTTCTGCAAAATGTCACTAATTTGTTATGTTTAAAGCAGAGATTAGAACAAAAGAATCTATTTGAAGGACGACCAAACAAAACGCAATTGACTATTAAAAAAAAGTTTTTCGACGCCTGAAAGATTATTAAGTTCTCAGTATGATGTTATGTAATATCAATAATTACCCACATATAAATTACCTTTAGATTTTAGAATTCTGTCATCTGTCGAACCTACTCAGAGATGTTTGTCAGGGTAGAGCAGCAGTCGCAGCCATGTGCTTAAACATATATCATTAGTGTGTTAAGATCTACTAATTTTATGGTTACATAAAACTGCAAATTTTCCGAGGAGCGGACTCGCAGTGTCATTAAAAATAAAATGTAAGCATTTGCTTTTTCAATGTGTACAAGTGTTTATAATATGTCTGACATATACACTGACATGTTATATATAGACACTTTCACAAACACACACACACACACACACACACACACACACACACACACACAAATGTATATACAAACCCAAAATGTGATAGTAGCATTATAATTAAGTAAAATTACAAACAATTAACTTCCTCATACCCATTCACTTGCGTCAATGTAATGCACGCAATGAGATGTGTTTTTGCAGTTGTAATTTCAACAGAAGTCCTTATTACGAAAACTTACATTGAAGTTAGTCTGTAGGAAAGTAGTTTCGAAAGTACCGGAAAAACGAACGAGGAAGCCAAGAAGAGGTGGTGGACCTGCAGAGTATTTCAAGAAAAACAACTGAAATACGACTGTCCATGTATTATTCATACTGCAGGGTGATCATTTGATTCTTAATACACCATAAGAAGAAACTGTGGGGATGATTTTGTGATCAGACGCCCTTGAAGAGGGATTAACGAAGCGCGCACCTGCCATGTGTTCGAAATTCCGAATGCGCGAAGCAAGTACAAAGGGGCAAGACGTCGAGAAACAAAACTGATCGAGGAAACATCATTTCCCCCATTCTGCAGTGACGATTTAACAGTTTCAAGCAAAGGATCAAATCGAAAAGGGAATCTACAATCATGTTCATCGAAACGCTTCAGTTCACCATTCCAATAGACTTGTGCACTGTATTTTCATCGTTACAAAAAGGACCGAAGTCGAATCTTGAATTTCCGGCATCGGTGAACTCCTATGGCACGACACAAGATGCCAACATTCAAGTTGCGTTGCATGCAAACAAGCTGACGTTTACAGTTGATGGCGTTTCGTCAAATGCGAGCATGATATCAAAGAGCGAATGCAAAACTTTAAGACTTTCAGTATTTGACGTAGACCGTTCATTAATACCACAAGAAAGTGAAGTTGTAAGTTACGGGCAGATGTCAACGTCGGTCACAGTTTCAACCAAGCGCTTGCACGATAACACCTCATCAACTCAACCTGCATCGAAAAGTAGTCGGACTGAATATTTAGAAAGTACACCAATTCGTTCACCAGCCCGTCGCATTCCACATGCTCAATCCACGTCTTCTCCGTCCAACAATACCCATTCAAAATCTCAAAATGACACTTCTGTTAATGTGAAACAAGAACCAGAAGATCCAGATTTAATAGAAATAGAACCGGATCCTGAACCCGATGGTGTTGTGCCAAAGACAGAGACTCCATACATGCAAATAGATTATTCATCAGATGTACCTCATACGCAAACGTCCCAAGCAGCTCTAGATCGACTTTCTCATCCACAATCATCACATTCTCAATCACCTGGTTCTTCATCATCGTCCTTCCATCAAAATGTTCCACATGTGCCAGATTACGCCGGACCCAGTACTAGTCAAGTTCGTCATGGTGACCAAAGTGCAGATGACTATTTAGTGTTTCAAGACGACAATGACTACGGCGACGATAACGAAGCAGATTACAGCAATGACGGTAATTATCTAGTTTGTTCTGCTGTTCAAGAAGTGATGGTCGTCCTGATAGAACAAAACTCAGTGAAACTTGTTCCGACGATAACAATAGTGGGCCCAACAGGGAACAAGTGATTCAAACAATCCGCCCTGAAACCAATTTAAACTTCAGTTTTTTGTTTTCTGTTATCTATAATGATATCTCATGAAATTCACTATATAAGCCAGAATTATGAAAATATTGTGAATCAGATATTTGGGGAATAGTTCAGAAAGCTTGAAAATAGAAACAGTAAGACTACAGTTAGTTCCACCAGCCTAAAAATACGTATGGTCAAGGCACCACTTTCTAAGCATGTTAAAAATCTGTAGGTGATCACGAATGTTGTACTACACAGAGCTCCAGATAAGCTTTTGGTGTTGTGGGTATTTTACCCATGCATTTTAAAATCATTGGGTATCAGTAATTCTATCTGCGTATTCAAATTTCTGTTACCCACTAGTTTTTACACATGTGGGTATTTAAGTTAAATATTTAAAAACACTGTTCATCTAGTCCCTGCAAACTGGTGTCGTGTGGGTTCGAGAGCTTTATAGGACTCAAAAATACCATGATACTTCCACAAGAAAGTGTGATGGCAAATGATCATGATGTAACTGTCATCGTGGAGTTTGGCAAGGTTGACGGAATGCCCGTATATAATTTCACAATAAGTTGCTGATTTGCTAATCGAATACGCAGGGTTACTTCACAATATTTTGATGATACGCACAAGTTTTATTTTTGTAGCGTATCTGTAATGTTTGTTGCGTATTTGATACGCTTTGATTATATTTTACTGCGTATTCTGCATTTCTGATGCGTATTTCACGCAGATACGCAGCTTATCTGGAGCTCTGACTACAGGATTAATTAAAACACGACCATACATTGTTCGAAATTAGGCTTGATGGTTTAAGGGGTCCTTGTCATAACCCTAATATTAATTGCAAAACATTAAGGGGTTCCTAAGATTAAATTACTGCAGGATCAGACCTCAGAGACCACAGGACCCCCAATCCCCACTTCAAACACCACCATAGAAGCCCAGAATTATGTCTACCCCAACAAGTGTTGGTTGTATATCCATCAAACTGCCTCTGTGTCAAGCTTGCAAGATAACATAATTGAAACAGGTTCCCCAGGCCTTGTGTACACCATGTCCAAAATAACTACCTGCCCGTGGCTGGTAACTTTTCTGTGAAATTTTCCTCCACCTGCCTGACTCAGTCAGATAATTTTAAGACTACTCCATATTCAGTTTTATTATGATTCCTTGTAGATTCTCAATCATTGTCTGCATTATTTCAACTGAATCGAGACGCAATAGATGCGATTTGTCTCAATTTTTTTTTGCGATTTTTAAATATTTCAAATGTCTGAATGGGGTCAGGTAACTTTCAAGATGGGCAGGCGACAGTTTGGATCTCCTACCTGAATGTTGGGTCTTAAACTTATTTCAAACACTGCAGGGGTCGATTTTACTGCTGGCCCATGGCCAGTTAAAATTACAAGGGGTTTGCGGACTCGACCTCGACTCTGTCTCTGTTAGTTTAGCGAGGTCCTTTTTGAGTAAAATTCTGTTTGGTCTTGTAGAGTCAGCAAATCATAGTCCGAATACTAAGACTAAAATATCCTGAAAATTATGTTGAGAGCCAGGTTTGGGATTGTAGGCTCAACTGTAAATGGTAGAGTATTAAGTTATGAAAATATGTGTTAGAAAGTATGAAACTCAAAGTGCTGGAAGGGCGAATAGTTTAGGGAAGCTATACCCTCTTTCACTTTGACACAACACAGCTTGACTGTCCACTATAGTATAACTGTAACTCCACTTCCCGGGCAATTTATCAATACAGTTGCCATGGTTACTGAGTAAAACTGCCAGGATGACCAGCACTTCTCCTTAATCTCACAGTGTTTGGTTATTTCTAATGCTTGTGATATCTTCAGTTATGACCTGAAACAGTTGACGAGCATTTTCACATGATTTGTAAAGACATTGAGACATCCCAACATCAGGGAATAACCAAACACTCATTTGCAACACGGAAGGGTTCATTTCTCTTGAACTTCTAGACATTGACCTCCCTTTTTAAAAGGAAGTTTTCTGCCGGAATTGAATCAGCATGGACAATAACAAGTTAACAACAGTGATGATGTCGAAAACCATGCCGATAAACAATTAACATGCTTTTGAATCATACAAGCTCAGAACACACCATGAAGAAAATCACATGCACTAAGCACTGTGTCCCAGCCACAACAGTTCTTTCGCATGCTGACGTTGAAACACGCGAAAAACATGAATATCACCGGTCACAAAAATTAGTCTCATGGAACAATGCGGACTTGTCCTCAGCTCAGAAGCAGTTGTAATCAGCCATACTTCTTTCATGGTGAGGGGCGGTCGGGTAGCCTAGTGGTTTAAGCGTTGGCTCGTCACGCTGAAGACCCGGGTTCTATTCCCGACATTGGTACAATGTGTGAAGCCCATTTCCCCCGCCGTGATATTGCTGGAATATTGCGGCGTAAAACCATACTCACTCACTCACTCACACTTTCATGGTGTTAGAAATTGGCATTAGTCTTGTAGTCCTGGCCAAACTGCCCAATACTTGAGGTATCCTAAGGACTAGTGGAAATTTGCGTTATAAGTTATACGTAATGATCATGAGGACTAGTTGACTAAAACTGTTCGTTTCTACCGCTGCTTCAAGTGGTTCTGTTGGCAGTAAAACCAGTAAAACATCGGGCAGGGGCAGGCCTTAATGTTGAAACTAATTTGGTTGCCACGGCGATTAAAATTTCTACTTGGTGACCCATATTTTATTCAGTCGCCACTGGCTACTTGGAAAAATCAAGCCGTCGACCTGATATCACTAACTGCTCAGTACAGAAAAACATGCATTAATAAATACTGTTTGACTGAACTAAACTTTATTTTACAAAAGCTGAAATCAACTTGGGAATTGTATAGTAAAACTTAATCGATAATCTTGTCTAGTATACATATCGTAAATAAAAACAAAGCTTGTTACTCTAAGCGTTAGGGCTGATTACGATTCCCTTGAATGTTCAGTGAATCGGACTGTATCCCTTCATGAATTAAATTCGTTTTTCGTTGTCACTAGACAAAAATATTGGTAAAGAGTGTTTTATTGCTTGAACTCGTCTGTTATTTATCAAATTGAGAAATGCAAAATGGAATATATTCAAGCCATGCAGTAGTGTGACTTGTGTCAGTTTTCCAAGGCCCCTTCTGATACTGTCAACCTAAACATGGGGCTATAAGGTCGTTCTGACGTGACCCGTAATGGGATGTCCTCAGATCTTTGTTTAGCGATAGCTAGAACTAAGGTCTGATTTTAACAAGATTGGGCTACAACAGTGACACTTCTTTCTTATGCTGGCGCGAAAGCACTTGTCTACAAATTAAAATTAAAGGTATCTAATCCACAATTAGTCTACCTCAAACACAGTAGGTTTATCTCCGAATTGAACAAAGTATCTGTTCCTGTAACTTGCAAATACTTAATGAATCATTGAATTTCTTTAATATGAATTGCTTCATTAATTGATGCCATGGAGAATCATCAGATTTTACACATTCCAATTGAAAAGAAATAAGGTTACATTGTTGTTGCTAAGCAGTTTAGAATAAATGGTCAATGACTAGAAGTACAAAGAGAATTGAATCCATTTTGTTCTTGATCGTCCTATATATTACTAACTGCGTCTTGTTTGGTCCGTACAGTTGAGTATGACTTAAAACTGTACTGTCCACAATATTTCAGTTAATTTGTGTTATCAAACTATCTATGCAAAAAGATAGAACTGGTTTGCTAAATTTTGCATCCATTTGCCTTTTGATATTATTTGTATTGCTCAGTGGAAGTCCTTGTCAAATCACACTTAGCTGTATGGAACCAAATAGGGTTTTCCATGCAACTAGTAATCCAAGGAAACACTATAACAAAACTACAAATATATCATCACGTTGGACGAACAATAAGAATTGTTCCTTAGTTTTTGTCCCATAGCAAGTATATATATAATTTAGATACTTGCATTAGGTTCATTAAAAATGTCTTGTATCAACATGTTTATTACCAGTTACTAGGAAAGCCCTATCTGTGTCTGGTATGTTTCTCACATAGAAGAAATAACAATGTGCCATATATATGTTTCATCTGTAGTGTGGAAAGTGATAAGATCGATTTGTTTTGCCCTGCTGGGCTGGTTTGTTATTCTTTGGAAAATATATTTTACACTTCACATCTGAAGGAATTGGAACAAATTTAACAGATGTTTAATCCATCTTGTCACTTGCCATGTTGACACACCCAGTGCCACAGTACAGCGATGAAGGGGGCGTGGTTCCTGGCATCACAAGGTAAGTCCACACACTGGCTTCCTGATTCAACTGTGGCCTGGGCTTTGAGAGTTAATTTTCACATTAGGTTTTGAAGCCATGGGTAAAATACTACAAAGTGAAGATTAAGAAAGTCCATAATTGACACAATGGCACCAAAATCGCGTTCACACTCTGTGTTTCACTCATTGGGACGATGAGCTCTCAATATCTTGAACCATGTGACCCTTACGCGGCAATAGGGATGGGTAAAGAAGATTAATAACATTGGTGCTATTTTGTTCATTGTGGAAATTTGAAAATGAAATTTACTTTTACCTATGAAAACAAAATATGTGGTTCTTTCCGGACAAATACTTCAGTCATTTTGATGACCAAGACATGACCAAGTAACAACTTGCCTAACAATAAAAAAAAAATCATGTTTCTACTTCGTCTGGGATTTTACTCATGACAAAGTGTTCATGCATATCTGTTCATTTGATATTTCTGGGTACTGTTTTCCTACAAACTAGCTAGTATAGTTATGAAAATGGTGGGTGGGATTTATGGGGGTATGTGGTCAGAAGAAAACTGTTCATTTACTCTGTATATTTTTCCTATGGTTGTT